ATCACCTAATTTGTAGGTAGGATCTGTTAGCAGGATCCCAGAAGTCTGTCTAATAAAAAAGATTTGGACAATTCTATTGCATGATGCGTGCCCATTAGATCAAAAGTGGGCTGATTCAAGTCCCATTTTCAATACTATGTTCTAAAGAGGTTCTTACTTTAAATCTATATATATTTATCATTATATTTTCTCCACAAAAATTTGATATCGAACGTTTACTCTTCCCATTTACATAGTCATAGTTGGCTGTTGAAACCTTGAAACAAAAAGGAGTAACCTTCATAGATCCAGTAAGTCACTAGGATGATCTTCAGATAATACGTTATCTGTGAAAATATGAATCTCTATACTAAAAATAAAGGATCACTTGATGGTGAAACATCTTTAAGTATCCTTTTTTTTTTCCTTTTTGATCATTATTCTTTACCGCGATATCGAAACTCTGTCTATATCCTGAAGAAGATTCAAAGATAGCACAACTTCCAATCCTCGTTATAGTTCTGGTCCTGAGGCTTTACATCAGAGAGCTTATACTCGCATTCTATAAGCATTAGCCGGAGATTGTTGCACTTGTTTTGGACAAAAAAAATGGTTGACGAGAAGGATGATATTCGGGTTCTGATGCCATGCTTTCCGGAGTATCTAAGATCACAACATTTTTATTATAAACTCTTTTTATTTCAAGGATGTATGTAATGACTATTCGGTCATTGACTTGACAAGTCGAAAAACTTGCATAATTAATAATGTAGGAATCATAATATAACTGCAATTATAAAATATTCACTACATTTACTTGCATGTTAATTCTATTATAAATCGAGATATTACAATCAGAATGTTTAATCGGTTCCTAATAGTGAAAATCTCATTGAGAGAAAGCAATATAGAATGTAAATTGGATTATATACGGAGAATCGGAGATGTTAATAAACCTCCTTTAATTGTAAAATCCATTTCAATCGATTAAACGAACAAGTAATTGGCGTATATATCTTGACGACAGGACCATAGAAATAATAAAAACTTAGTGAATTCTTTTACCAAAAGGAAGAAAATAAGAGATTGAATAGTGACTGCGTTCTCTGATGCATCCACTCTGCCATTGAGCGACATGGAAATTTCTGAGAACTGTCCAAGTTTTATAAGTAATTAAAACAACTTAACACGGTTTCCCTTAACTTCCTGATACCGCGGTGAGAAATCAGTTTTAAATTATTCCCTAAGAAAAGCTCTGCGATTGCAATCCAATTATAATTCCTGACAATTTTTAATTATATCGTTGAAATATTCTTTGTCAGTAATATTATCCTATGCATTTGTTATGAGGCAACCCTCTCGTTCGCGAAATCTCATTTTTGTATTCACAGTAAGCTCTTCTTTAAACATCTGGCACCCTTTCGTTTGAAGAAAGTCTGTACTTAGGTGTACATTACGCTAATATTTCTGATAATTGTTAATTGCAAAAAGTTTCTTATTAAAACGAGAGAAAATATTCATGAGATAAAAAAGAAGAAAGCCAAAATACTAAGATTAGAATTTGTTTGTGCTTCCAATTGTATGACCTAATATTGTACACTTAGATCTTGATACTACACCAATCTCTAGGGACTACTCTGGGATTTGATTTAATCCCGGGGTACTTACTTACTGCAAATCCTATTATCTCAGACCTCAGGGCACAATGTTAGCTAGTACTTAAATCGATTATTGTAAATATGATATAGATAAGGCGATCATATGCAGCAGTAAACTATAAACTAACAAAAGATTAACTCTTTAATCGATCTAATCTATCT